CCCTGGGTTTAGTCCTTCCCAAGTACCAGAAAGAAAGAAACAAACAAAACAATCACTGAAACTTTGTTTWAAAAAAAAAAAATCTACCATTTAGAGATTTGCTTGAATCCAGTAAGTAACATCTTTGCAAGACCAGAAGAGTACATGTCTTGCTTGTGATTCACACTTTCCAGCTGAATCACATTAGCTAGCTTTCTTAATTCCTGTATGGATACTCCTAAGGGAAATTTTGAAAAAGGAATAGGTGATGTAACTAATTTCAAATCTGGGTACTATAGAGCAGCTAGTCAAATGTCTTATAGGAAACTTTGAATAGCATTAAGAAATGGTCTCTGGAACTGCTCTGTTGCCTTATATGGGATCTGAAGATACTCAGAAAAGTTGGGGTATTTTATGAGGCTTTTGTGTTTTGTATTCTTTCTACTCCATTTTCTTTTTCTTCTTTATCCTTGTTTCTGTATTTGAACATCATGAGAAGTTCAACCCAAATTCTCTGTGAACTGTGAAAAAGATGATAGCTTAGTGACTAGAAAGTTGCTGTTAGTCGCTGCCTGTCTACTGGGAAGAAGAATCACCTATATTTAATCATTTTCCCCTTTTGTTTTTCTTGGTAGTATTCAGATCTATACATTGTTAAATTTGGGGTAGAGAGAAAATCCTATTTAATTTTTTTTTTATACCAGAGATTGAACCCAGGGGTGCTTAATCACTGAGCCACATCCCTAGCCCTTTTAAAAAAATACTTAGAGATAGGGTCTCATAAGTTGCTTAGGGCCTCCCTAAGTTGCTGGGGTTTACTTTGAAGTTGACATCTTTCTGCCTCAGCCCTCTGAGCTATTGGGATTACAGGTGTGCACCACCACACCTGTCCTTAACTTTTTTATTTTAAGTGACTCAGTTTTTTTTTTTAAATGTACTTTTTAACTATTGATGGATCTTTATTTTATTTATTTATATGCTGTGCTGAGAATTGAACCCAGGGCCTCATACATGCTAGGCAAACACTTTACCACTGAGCCACAACCCCAGCCCTGACTCAGTTATTTTTTATTTGATATTTGAAAAATATTTTGAGAAAGCTTTGATAGAATCCTAAACAAACACCTGCTACTTTTTGGTGGTATGAGGACCATTAGAAGAGTCAGAAAGGAAGACAACACATACCTATTTTGAAATACTTAAAATGGTGAAGACTTCTTATTACAGTTTGTTAAACTCATTTGCAATTTGGAAGTTTTGGGATAAGCCTTCCATAATATTCAGTTGATTTGTTTTTATCTCCATTCTTTTTTCCCTCTCCATTTGACACATTACCACCAGAAATGTTCCTGAGTGGTTTGGAAGGCCTAGTAGAGTGGGAAGAACTTCTCATAGTTTTAAAATCTGTTGGTATTACTTACTTCAGCTACATGAAAATTTATCTTTTAGGATAGGATATTTAATGCATGATATGTTGCATGTATTATACATTAATTTTAAGAAGTATAGTAGAATGGATTTATGAATGGCATGGATATAAATTATTTCTATCTAAATTGCTCTGTTCATTTTTGGATAAAATAATTACTTGCTAGAGCAATATTTTCCTGACATTTTACAAGCCTGAGGGTGAGTTAGAAGGATCTGAACGAATGCCAAGTGTAAAGATTTTTGGAACAACTTGATTTTACTACTTTCCTAGGAGTGTCAGGGGATTAGTTTGATCCTGCTTGAAGTAAAAAGCTGCTTTCTGAAGCCAGTAATTCCATGGAGATTAGTGGTATTAAGGATATTTTTAATTTGGGCCTTAGAAAGCCAGAGGTCTGAGCATTGATTTTACCCTTTCCTTTCTGTATTAATGAATTTAAAATATGTTGTTGATTTGATAGTTGGTTCATGTATTAATAGCTGATTTGGGATTCTTTTCTTTCTTTTTTAAGTTCTGGTTGGACACAATGCCTTTACTTTATTTATTTATTTTTATGTGGTGCTGAGGATCGAAGCCAGTGCCTCGAACGTGCTAGGTGAGTACTGTACTGCTGAGCCACAATGCCAGCCCCTGGTTTGGGATTCTTTAAATTGTGTATACATTTTTTAAAAATACCTTTATTTTATTTACTTATTTATATGTGGTGCTGAGGATCGAAGCCAGTGCCTCGAACGTGCTAGGTGAGTACTGTACTGCTGAGCCACAATGCCAGCCCCTGGTTTGGGATTCTTTAAATTGTGTATACATTTTTTAAAAATACCTTTATTTTATTTACTTATTTATATGTGGTGCTGAGGATCGAAGCCAGTGCCTCGAACGTGCTAGGTGAGTACTGTACTGCTGAGCCACAATGCCAGCCCCTGGTTTGGGATTCTTTAAATTGTGTATACATTTTTTAAAAATACCTTTATTTTATTTACTTATTTATATGTGGTGCTGAGGATCGAACCCAGGGCGATCGCTCTGCTGCTGAGCCCTAGCCCCAGCTCTGTGTATACATATTTTAATCAAATTCGTTAAAAAACATCATTCTGTCCTTTCATTTGACATATACCAATAGAAAACGGCTATTATTTTAAAAACAGCAAATGTATTTTAATATTTTCATTATTATACAGATGTGGACTGGTAGGAATCTTGTAAGGGACAGGCGAACGACGGAGGAAGAGACCACCAAGAGACCGACTCATGCAACAGCAAAAGGGGGTTTATTGCAGATCCAGCGCGCTGGGGCTCCGTGCTCACTCAAGAAGGGAGAGCGGCCAAGAGCCCCGAGCAGGGGTTAAGCAGTGCTTAAATACACTTTTGGGGGAGGGCGGGGGCTTTGCATACATCAGAGCAAATCATCATGAGGCACGGGAAAATCGAACAACAACTCTCAAACAGGATTTGTACATTCATTGGCGGGAACAGGTCGGGCGGGGGTGATAGGTCAGTCCTAAAGCGGGGTATATATTCAAACTGATTGGTTTAGGCCCTGAGGTGCCTACGTGCTGAGCTGCACTGGGCCCAAGTTGTTAAGCAACTAAGTGGTCAGGGGGAATTCCTACACATATCTAATGGGCAGTCCCGGGAATCATCTTAACAGCTACAGGAATTTCAGGCTTTGAGTGTAGTTTAGAAACTTAACAATACCTGGTCCTTTACATTTTAACTCTGGCTTTGCAGCTTAGAAATTCTACAATACCTGGTCCTTTACATTTTAACTTCAGTTTCTTTTACCCTTTCAATCTTAGATTAGAAAAAATGTTTGTCAAATGTAGATCTTGTCTAATATGAAAATATACCATCTATTTTATTGGTGGTTGTAGTTAACAAAAGTAGTTCAGACAAAAGATTCTAGGCATTTCTGAAATGTTAAAGCTTCTGTTCATGAGACAGTGCCCAGTGATCTTTCTGCTCCATTTTATATTTTTTCATGATGTATTTACCCTTTATTATAAAAGTACAAAATATAAATGGGTATCCTGATTTTTAAAAAGTTTTAATTCAGTGAGTGTTTTTTTGAGGCCTTTTACTCTTAGTAAATATAGTCAGTTTTGAAAATTAAGAGTTATTCTTGGGTGGATATTTTCTGAAACTTTGATTAACATTAAATATTTCCTTAGATTAGTGTTGAATTTTGGACTGTTTACAGATACCCAAACTATATCTTCAAATGGCTAGGTAGAAAGTCTTACTAGACCATCCAGTGTGTAATATTTTGCAGATATTTAGTTAGTAAAGATATTCAATTATTATTTGAATAATTGCCCTTTCTTAGTTCTTAAATATACAAATTAATTTCTTGCAACTTTAGTAACTCCCCAATGGTAAATGCTTTTTACCTGGGTGGTTGAATTCAGAGAAGGCACTAAGTTGGCATTACTTATTTCATTTTAATACTTTTAACTGGACCTTCATGATCTTTTTATTCTTTTTTTAATTTTTTTTTTTAATATTTATTTTTTAGTTCTTGGCGGACACAACATCTTTGTTTGTATGTGGTGCTGAGGATCAAACCCGGGCCGCACGCATGCCAGGCGAGCGCGCTACCACTTGAGCCACATCCCCAGCCCCATATTCTTTTTTTGTTTTTTTAAATATTTATTTTTTAGTTGTAGTTGGACACAGTCTTTATTTCACTTATTTATTTTATGTGGTGCTGAGGATCAAACCCAGGGCCCCGCACGTGCTAGGTGAGCGCTCTACCGTTGAGCCACAATCCCAGCCCAATCTTTTTATTCTTGATGTTAAAGAGGCAGTGTAATATAGTGGAAAGGAATAAAATTTGTAGTCTCATAGACCTAGGCTTGAATCACTACCTYACCAATTATTAGCTGTTTGATCTTGGAAAATTCCCACAACCTCAACCTTCTTTTTTTGGGCAGCGGGAGTATGGGGATCGAACCCAGAGCACTCTACCACTGAGCTTCATCCCCAGCCCTTTTTATTTTTTATTTTGAAGATAAGTTGCCAAAGCTGGCAATTTCAAACTTGAAATCCTCCTACCTCAGCCTCCTGAGCTACCCACGTAAACCATATCAATGAATAGTAAGTACTTCATAGAATCACATTCCTAAAGGATATTAGGTTGCCTGGTGCATTGTAGACAATAAATGCTAGTTTCTTATCTCCTATAAAGCTCTTTTCAAAGCCACCTTGCTCTTTTCTCTTCCTTTTTCTATTACTGAAACAATGTCATTTGGTATGATTTTTATTTCTCTTTTTCTTTTTTTTGGTACTGGGGATTGAATCCAGGGGCCTTTTACCACTGAGTGATAACCCCAGCCCTTTTTTAAAAATTTTTGAGACAAGGTTTCATTAAGTTGCTGAGGCTGGCCTCCAACTTGAGATGCTCTTGCTTCAGCCTCCTAAGTTGCTGGAGTTACAGGTGCACTCCATCATGCCTGGCTTGATTCTCTTTTCATTCTTTGTTTCTGAAGTATGTTTATCTTATCTCACAGGGCTGTTGTGAGAGTTAGATATGATAATATATGTGGAAATGCTTAGTACAGTTTCCTGGCATATATCAGGCATTACAAAGATTATGGCATCTTTGGCAGCACATATCCTAAAATTGGAATGATACAGAGAAGATTAACATGGCCCTTGCACAAGGATGATATGCAAATTAGTGAAGCATTCTGTGTTTTTGTATGAGTATGTAACAATCCCACCATATACAACTATAATGTAGCAATAAAAAATGTGAAAAAATGCAAAAAAAAGATTGACATTGAATATGAGATTCATTTTATCTGTGAATACATTTTCTGTCTTGCTTCTGCCTTATCTGTAGTATGTTTGATATTTTTTATGAAGTCTTCCCATTTTGGGGGGGAGGGACACTTTTGTTTAGTCTTACTAGCACTCTAGCTAATACCCATTTCTTTGATTTCCTTTATTGTCATACTTCATACTCTTTCACCACCTGCTCTCATATTAAACCTCTGCTTCCAGATAAACTATAATTCTTCCTTGAAACTGAAAGAGTACCCTCCTACCCAAGCTCTCACAAGTTGTAAATGTTGAAAATATTCAGTGAATATTAGTTGAATAATGATTGAAATGAAAAGCTTTCTTATAGTACTTATCAGTTAAGAGCTTTCTTATGCTTTTAAAGATATCTTGTAAGAAACTGTCATACTCCAGTATAAACAGATGCTTGAATATAGAATGCATTTTGTTGTATTTTTGAGAAACCCATGGTTTGTGTCAGATTCTGGGAAGAAATTTTAAATGTATGTTTTAGAGAAAATTTATTCTCAAGGCATATTTAGTAACAAAAGCATTTTTTTTTCCTTTTTTTATATCAAGAGGACCTGTTCCATTATTTTTCTAGTTTAATGATACTCAGACCTGTGTTCTTAAAGCCCCATGTGGTGGTTCAGCAGTCATTTTCTTCTCAGGCCTCTGTTACATTAACCACACATGCTGGAATGTGGTAAACATGCTGCCATTTTGGTCAATGAGAGGAATTCATATGGTCCCAGAGGCATATTCTTTTGTTGTTTTAGGTGGGGTCTTGCTATATTGTTCAGGCTGGCCTTGAACTACTGAACTTAAGTGACCTCTCCTGCCTTAGCTTCCAGAATAGTAAGAGGTAAAAGGATACCTTTAGGTTCTTTTTTCATAAACTTTATTTGATATGTAATATATATAAGTAAAATGCAAGATCTTTTTTAAAAAAGAGTACTACTTCCTGAGTAGTTGGACCATTAGCACATGCCACCTAGCCTGGCTAGCATATTCTTTTTTTGTGGGGGATTAGGGGCTGGACAGGGGTATTAGGGATTAAACCCAGAGGTGCTCTACTACTGAGCTATATTCCTAGCCCTTTTTATTTTAAGACAGAGTCTTACTAATACTTTATCATCATCTATTCATTGTTTTGTTGATGACATTTGGGTTGTTTTTACTTTCTTTTTTTTAATATTTATTTTTTAGTTGTTTTATTTTATTTTATTTTATTTTATGTGGTGCTGAGAAACCCAGTGACTCATGCATGCTAGGTGAGCATGCTAACACTTGAGCCACATCCCCAGCTCCTGTTTTTACTTTCTTACTGTTTTGAATACTACCTGTTTTCTGGTGTACTATGACCAAAAATTTCTCTTGGTATTTAGGAATATAAATATAAATCCTGTGGGTTATAGGATTAGTAAGCATTGTGTTTTACAAAGTAACACTGTATTTCAAAGAGGTTGTTTTAGTTTACATTCCTATCAGCAGTAGATAAGAAATGAGTTCCTTTTCATTATTAGAAATTTTATTTTAAACTGTGACCCTAATTTCTTTTGGAGAAATAGGTCTATTTAGATTTTTTGTTTTTCTTCCTTGATTATTATTTCTAGCTGGTCAAGAAATCACCTATTTCTTTCTTAGTTTTGTGTGTGTGTTGCACTGGGGATTTAACCCAGGGGTGCTCAATCACTGAGTTATACCACCTGCCTTTTAAAATAATTTTTATTTTGAGACAGGGTCTCACTAAGTTGTCCAGGATGGCCTTGAACACGTGAGCCTCCTGTCTCAGCCTCCCTAGTCACTGGGATTAAAGGTGTGCACCACTACCCCTGACTAAATTTTCAAAATTTTATTAACAGTTTTGTTGTTGTGGTGGTGGGGGTGGTAGAATACACATAACATGAAATTCACCACTCTATTTTTTTTTGCCTCCTGGTGATGATGGTGAAACCCAGAACAAGCACTCTTACCATGGAGCTTTATCTCCAGCCCACCATTTGTAAGTGTACAGTTCAGTAGCATTAAGCACATTTACATTGTTATGCAACCACCACCACTTTCAATCTCTACAACTTTTTTCATACTCCCAAACTGAATTTGCACACATTAAACTATATCTTCCATTTCCCTCCTGTGACAGCTACCATTCTATTTTCTGTCTAGGTGCCTTACATTTGTAAAGTTATACAGTATTTGTCTCTTTGTGACTGATTTATTTCACTTAGTATAATATCCCTAATGTTCATCTCTGTTATAGCATGTGTCAGAATTTCTTCATTTTTTAAAAAGGCCTGATTAATATTCTATCTTTTGTAATTTGTAAAGTACATATATTGGCACATAGTAGATTCACATTAAATATTTATTATTTGATAAGTTAATTTTTTAAATTAACAGAGGAATTAGGAGGTGCTTTTTCTGTGTGCATGGAATAAGAGTCAGTAAATAAAGTTACTCTTATTTTTTATTTTTTGCATAGTAACTGCCTTGATTCCCTTAAGGGGCTTGCTCATTTGGGCTTAGGGAAGACAGGAGGAATGGCATTTATACACGTATATAGTGGATGGGGATGCAATGATGGGCATTGTTTAAATCAGTTACTGAAAAATAATAGAGCTGAGGATGATTTGTCTTGTTCCACTTGGGTTACAGCCACCTGAGATACACACACACACACACACACACACACACACTCTCTCTCTCTCTCTCTCTCTCTCTCTCTCTCTCTCTAGCTGTGAAGTAGGAGGAGACAAACAGATATATATTCCCACTATTCCCACTCTGCTCCATTTCAGCTCTCCCTGCTCCCACACATACAGCTGCTGCTGCTGACTAATGCTAAGCAAGATGAGGAGCTTGTGTCTTTTAATAGCAGAAGAGAAGAGTAGTATTATGTGGTTTCTGGTTTTCTACTTAGAATGTATTTTAGATTTCTAGAAATTCTATGTTGTTACAGTTTCCAATTCTTTATTGTTCTAACTTGGAGTTTTTAAAAAAGAGAAAGAATTTATTAGTTTTTCTAAATGGAAACTTCATTCCCCAAAATAATATTTATGGTAATCAGGTCTTATATTATGGGAGAGTTTTTAGATTAGAGTAGAAAAATAGTGCCCTTGAAAAAGCAGACTTATAGAAAGGACTCACATTTGCCCTTTTAACTTTGGGAAATTACCTTTTTTGGTTCTAATTCCTTTTTAGAATATATTAATGCTTTAATTTGGGTCCTTCTCCTTTTTCCTCTATAAATCTAATGAGAATGATATTTATTAGCAAATTGATATTATGGAATTGGAACTCCTGGCAAATTTCGCACAACCAAAATGAGAAAATAAGCCAGGTATGGTGCCATATACCTGTAATCCTAGCTACTCAGGAGCCTGAGGCTGGAGGATTGGAAGTTTGAGGCCTCCAACTTAGTAAGACCCTGTCTCAAAAAATAAAAAGGACCAGAGATGTAACTCAGTAGTAGAGCATTCCTGTGATCAGTCCCCCCCATCCCCACACACAGAGAGAAAGAAAAAAAATACTCTTATTTGGAACTTCCCGTTTTTTTTTTTTTTCAGTTAATAATGCAGTTGTAGTATGTTAGTGTTTATTAGTTCTTATTGACACATTTCTTGGACCCATTGATTGAATTTCTKATTTGAAATGATTATTATTTAAGTTAAAATGAGAGCTTTCAGTTTCRATTTAATTTACTAGGCAAGGATCTTTTTTAAAAAGGTGTTAAGCCATGCTTGGTGGTGCACCTAATTCAGGAGGCTGAGGCAGGTCCAATGTCAAAATCTAAAGAGATTGACTCAAAGTCCTTCTTCTTCTAGTTTCCTATTCTTTCAGTTTCCATTCCCCCCAAAATCAGTACTATACTAGTTTTTGATTCCTTCTAATATTTATGTATGTGCAGGCCAATGCAAAAACATTTTTTTCCTTTATTATGTTCATTTAACAATATTATCTTACTATTTCAATATTTAAAGAACTTCTCTTTTTAAAAATATTTACATATTATCTGTGTTAGCTTTCCGTTACTATGACAGAAACCTGAGACAATCAGTGTATAAAAAGGGAAGATTTATTTTTGCTCACAGTTGCAGCTCATATTCAGTTGGCTTCATTGCTTTTGAGACACTTGGTGGCACAATACAGAATTGTAGTAACATGTGGCAGAGGAAAGCTGCTCACCTCATGGTAGCTGAGAACCAGAGAGACAGAAAGTGGCCAGGACCCAATATAACCCTCAAGGGCATACCCCCTAATAATCTGACTTCCTTCCACTAGGCCCCACTTCTTAAATATTCCATCTCCCAGTAGTGTAAGGCCGAGGACCAAGCCTTGAATACATGGGCCTTTGGGGGTATATTGCAGATCCATACTGTGACAGTCTCATTGTTTAGATAAATTATAACTTATTAAACTAGTGTTCTATTGATGGACAGTTATTATCTTTTGCTCTTATAAATAATATTACACAGATTTGTTCACTCATTTGCAAATATGCTTGTAAGGTAAATTCCTAAAAATTGCCTTACTGAGTCAATTAATATATACTTTTTTTTTAAGTATTGGGGGCTGAAATGAGGGGTGTTTAACCACCAAGCTACATCCCCAGCCCTTTTAATGTTTTATTTTGAGAAGGGTCTTGCTGAGTTGCTTAGGGCCTTCCTAAGTTGCTGAGGATGGTTTTGAACTCTCCATCCTCTTGCCTCAGCCTTCCTAGCCTGTGGGATTATAGACATGCACCACTATGCTTAGCAATATATACATTTTTAATTTTGATAACTTCATTCTAGTTGTCCCACATGTATTGCACAAATTTACATTCTTATTAGGTGCAGGGTCATGTGTACCTGTTGTCCCAGCTACTCAGGGGGCTGAGACAAGAGAATCACAGGACTCCTAAAGTTTGAGAC